TTCTTTCTCCCTCTCTCTCTCTCTCTCCCCTCTCCCTCTACCTCTCTCCCCCTCTCTCTCTCTCTCTCTCTTCTTCTCTCGCTCTCTCCCCCTCTCTCTCTCTCTCCTACTCTCTCTCTCCCTCTCTCTCCCTCTCGTCACCCTCCTCGGACCGCGATGTGTGTCAGAGATAAGATTCTCGCCGGCACTGCTCAGTAGGGCAGGGGTGCACCCGATCAGTTGACATGACCGTGTAACCTCGCTACTGTGTTAGTAAGTCGGTCTCGTTGTAAACACCAATCAGCTGGCTCGCGGCGGGCAACTATGCTATCACTACTAGAGTGACGTCATGGAATGAGAGTGAGTGGTAGGAGGTGGGATAACGAGCTAATACCATCAGAAGTATCATATATATATCACCGAGTCAGCACAGCTCACACGACGCACACTTGCAGGTCAGAGGAATACATTAAGACTGAGTAGCACATAGTGACTGGAGATTCGATCGCCATCCACGTCGTTTGCCGTTAGGTTCCCGCGCCGCTTGATCGGTCACTGCTGAGTAGGAGAGCGCGAGTCTCCACTCGTTAGCGCACTCAGGATAAATTGCCACGCGTCGGGGTTGGGATCCCAGCGGTGCGCCGCGAGAAGATAAATACCGGTGTGTAGTCGCTGCACCTCGGAGTTCACGCGAGCCAGCTCCGCTTCATGGCGATACTGGAAAAAAGGGCGACGTTAATCCTGCAGTCCGGACCCACTCGAGTATCGAAACGTCTTTGTTTACGTCATCGTCACACATAAAGAAGATTTACATAACTGGGAAACGCGCAGCTACCATTGCCGTTCAACACAAGGCAATAATAGAAATTTAAGGAAAAGGAAGAAACAGCCTTAAGCAAAGAAGATCGGACAATTTTTACGAGCATGACCCAGACGTGGACTCACCTTCTCTGTCGTAAGCCTGGAGATCTCCTCCCGGAGTCGCGTCTCGACTAATCCCGGTGGTGGGGTAGACCCCGCGCACAGTCCTCCGTCTAAATCAGTGCGCTGGGGCACCCATGTCAGTGTGGACGCGTCCGAGTCCGGGGAAGCCGGGCCCTCAGGGACAGGACTCGGCTCGCGGGACACCTCCGCTGCAGAAAAATCGGACAAGCGGCTATCCATGTTTCGGAAACGCTGGAACGAGACTAGCTCGTACCAGCGGTGCTGGTGGCCGACAGTCAGCGTATCACACGCAGTTGATAAGGCGCCCGCCAATCCCGCCCCAGCGGCGGACCTTATCATTGTAACTATGGGCAACGAGGTGCGCGGCCTATAAGAGGGATGCATAAAACGGCATCTGAAGAACTTTTTTCCAGTCTTGATCGGAAATAGTCATGGCCGCTCCGCACTCGTCAGCCGACCGCCCCAACTCGTCTGAGAAGCACACGCCGCTCGGACGGGAAATCCCTTGGGGACTACCGAGCCAGCGCTGGGCGAGGCTACTGCAGCCACTCGTCCTGGCAGAGAAACAGTACCTGGCGGACGTCATCAAACGCCAAGACCTGAAGAAGCAGTCCGAGGCGATCAACGAGGCGCTCCGCCAGCAAATAATCAAAGAGGAGCAGAGTTTCTTGGCGTGTCGGGCGGCGCGGGAAGTGTGGAACCGCTTTCGTCTCAACCCGGCAGACGACCCGCCGGTGGCGGAGGAGGCTCCCCCTCCGCCCTCATCCCTGCTAGCCCCGGCTGCACCAGAGGGAGGGGAGAGCCCCCGACCCGAACGGCAGCCGGACACCCTGGCCGACTTGATGGCCTTCCTGAATGGCCAGTGAGTGTCTGTATGGCTTGTCCTAGGATGCGTTGTCTGACTGAAAACAATATGTCTAAACAGTTACCGAGACTTTTAAGCGCTGAACTGAGAGCTGGACGGAAGTGGAGCTGGTTAACAGGGGAAAGGGCGCGTGGCGGTGCCGACATCCTCCCACATTTTTTTTTTCGCTGATCATCTGAGGCTTAACTTCTCTCTTCCTTTCTCTAAATCACTTTCTCCCTCCCTCGCTCTCCCTCATTCTCTCTCTCTCTCTCTCTCTCACTCTCTCCCCCCCTCTCTCTCTCTCTCTCTCTCTCTCTCTCTCTCTCCGCGGTATTCGCTATCTTGCTCCGAATGATTATATCATATATCGATATATCGACGAGATTGGACTAACCATACAACGAAGTAGGATAAGGACCGAGACAATCCAGCTAGCCGGAGAGAGGTTGGTTCGAGCCGGGCCCCTGTGCCTGTTTTGACTCTGCTGACATCGTCAATAACTGCGAGATGGAGAATGAGTATTCCGCGAGCCGATAATTTCTAATGCGTATTCCCATGAAGTATAGCAAAGGCACCGAGCGGCTAGCCGTCCGCGTCGACCGGACTTTGAAGGGCTAGGGCTAATAAAGAGTACGAGAGCGATAAACGAGGGCAAGGATGCCGAGTTATGGTTACGCGGAGTGGCTCCGCCGAGGTATTAAGTGGAAACACAGAGTTGATGATTACGCGGAGTGGCTCCGCCGAATAGATTGACATTTAGGAACTGGCCCCTCAATGAAGCACAAACAGTTACACCCACAACACCGAGTTAGCAGACCGGCAGAGGTGTTTACGGCAGATGTTTCTTCGAGGATGGGACGAAATTATCAGCACTGTGGCAGTGCATGCGAGAGAGAAGTAGTCAAGGGAACGGTGAGTAATGCCGAGTGGCGCCGCCGAGAGTATGGTTATGGTTACTTATCCCTCAATGGAAGCACCAACCGAACCACCTAAGCCACCGAGTCGACAGACGGGCAGAGGTGTGTTCAACCGGTGTTTCCCTTGAACAAGGGCGAAATTACCTGTACTGTGGCAGTGCAGAGTGAGTGAAGTGCAGTGGCAGGGAACACATGAGATTGCTAGATAGTTACGAGGGACGGGAGTAATAGAGTAAATGGGTGACAGAAGGACACCCAGTGCAAATTGCATATAATTCAGGGAATCAAGGGGTCACATCCCCTACGCGCGTAGAAGTATCAAAATAGGGTAGAAACTCACCTCAGGAGGATAACAATGTCGATTCAGCACCACTGGGGGGGGGGGGGGTATTAGATGAAAACGGGAAGGTCGGTTTGTCTAGCCGAAAGTTCGTCGTAGAAGTATGTATGACCAAATGAATGATGCATGTGAGGGTGGAAGGGAGAAATGGAAGGATAGGTTAAGGACCAGTGGGAGCTAGACACTCATGCTTGAATTGCATTCATTTCCCTATGGGGTGGAGCCCTTGGCATCGAACGGACACGAAATTGGGAACATGGGAGGGTCCTGCCCTGGGACGCCAAGTCACATGTTTCCATTCAGCCGGTGACGATCCCATCCCTCAATTTGTACCCATTCCTCCCCGAGCAGTGAAGACTATATGTTGTAAGGAAATTGCAAGCCTCTCAAAAAAATAAATGTGTACTGCACGGCGACGGGGCCGGTGCCATGCGGGGATCAGCCGCTCGTTAAGGACCAGACCACCCGCCTGCCCACCGGAGGTTGTCCTCCAAGACAGACGATCGCCCTGTCGGGCAGCCCAACCCCTTAAACGGCACACGAGCCCCGTCTTAGCCGGAAACAGCACCGTTACACTTGCCCGATGTGACATCACCGATATATCACCTGTAATGCCCTATTACTGCTAAAAAAGCTGTTTAGGGTCATGATGAATGGATATGCTTACGCTAGAATGATGGCTTTATTGCCGTGAGTGACGCAAAGTTGTCATTACAATCCATGGGTCGGCAGTTCGCGTGACCTGTCTAGTGACATCTGACCAATTTGTGTTACAAATGCCTGTCTGAAAACGTCATATAAAATAACTGTCATTACGGAGCGAGCGAAGCGAGCGTAGTCTTTCCTTAGATTAACGGAAATTTCCGAGTATGAGCGGCCGGCCGTGCGGACGCTTTTGCGAGGCTTATATCTCAGCAACCACTTGACCGATTTACATGCGGTAATTTTTGTAGGGTAGCTTCATTCCTTCTACCAAGTATTGGACTATTCCCGATGCATGTGGGTGACCCCTTATGCACGTGCCACGTGCAAAACGAAGAGGTGTCACTTTTGTAATTGTTGCAATATCTCGGTAACTTCTTGGCCGATTGCGCTGAAAGTTGGCATGTAGGTAGGCACCCACTAGTCACTGCATATCCATGTGCCAGAGTTGGGGTGCTGCTGCACGTGCGCACGTGCAGGGGTCGTTTCCAGATCTTGAGAACGGCTGGACCGATGGCGCTCAAATTTGGTACACGGTTAGGGACCAGTTAGTAGGGTGCCGTGCAAAAGTCAGTTGGGACCCATTTTGCACGTGCGCACGTGCAGGGTACCGCTCCCAGATCTCGAGAACGGCTGGGCCGATTGTGCTCAAATTTGGCACATCGCTAGAAACCGGTCAGTAGGGTGCCGTGCACAAGTCAGTTGGAGGTACCCCCTCGCAAGTTCGCACGTGCAAGACTCACCCCTCGCTCGCTCCGTTAGTCGCCCCAAAAGGCGCTATACTGGTAATTGGTAAATACTTTGTAAGTAATGCTAAATAAGTGCACTAATATCACAATATATACAGCAACATCTTGCCAGTGGTTAGTGGCACCGCCAATGATGTGCTGTATGTCGTAAAAATATGTACAAGCCAAGTCGATCAAATTGAAGAGCTTTTGCTGAATGTGACAACACCTTGCCGAACTGAGGCGAGGAATGTGCTGGTCTGATTCATGCAGTTACATACATATCTGATATCTCCCTCATTGAGAGGTTTAAATCTAATAAAAAGACCCAACGTACGGTAATATTGCGTTGTTGGCAAACAGTTACTTTCTTACTTATTTTCTATCTGAACAGTCTCCCCGGTCGCCGATACTAACTAAGTGATTAGGAGAGGCAATGGTTGGCCGTCAATAGACGGACCAATAGGTAATATTGCTGCACGGCACATTGTATGATGAACACACGTCGAAGTTAAGACAGCCGCCCGGTCTCAGCTACTCACTAGGAGAGACAGTGTGCAGCCGTTACCACGTGCCGCTCGCTGATGAGGGTGCCGCCACAGACGAAGGTGCCGTTCCTGTAGTAGATGACCGCCTGCCACGGCAGCTCACCTGCCGAGAGACATGGGAGAACCACGGGCTAAGCGACTCTGACTTCTGATCGTGGTAGAACAATAACATGACAGACATGGAGGACCAGAAGAGTAACCAACGAGCTGGAACGAAGGAGACTGCAACGCGAAAAAGAGCCCAGCACTGTAAGACCTGGAAACTGCGATGCAAAACAAGAGCATAACACTAACACTGGCGCAGATGCGCAATAGGTCAACAGTCAACAGTGAATCGGGGTTGCACATGCACTATTCAATATTCATGTTTCATTTTTGTGGGATTCGAAAACTGGACAGGTAAGGACTTGACTTGTAAAAAAAAACTATCTGCTTGTAAGACAGTAAAGGCAAGAGCAAACTAAGAAGTGTAGCTGCGAAAATGTCTGATTTCTCAGAGCGACGGATGTCACTTAGGACTTAGCACAACGGTATTGCGAGCATTGGTCGCGAGAAACCCACAGCACCGGATCCTGGAATTAGCGCAGGTGCTACAAGCAGCGCACTGCACTAAGCCGATCACAGCCAGACTGAGGTATGTGAGGGATCCGGGCTTAGTGCCGACTGTGCGCTAACAGGCGCAATGCGCATCCCATCGTACGATGCATGGCATGGGAGCAGTCTGAACTTGGCTCGACAGGAATAAAGTCTTGTTACGCATTTTTGACGTTGTTTGTCGGTGATGACATTTTTAGATGTGCATGCTTACCTACCAATGGGAAATATAAGTACCTAACTGATTTAAGGCCTAAGCAATGGCCACTCACAAACTGCATAAGACGACGAGGCTAGCGTTCGCGATCTACATGCATTGTTTTATGCAGGCCCTCATCACAATGAACTGGACGGAGGAACATGTTATAAATTTTACGATATGCATACCCCCCCTCTCTCTCTCTCTCTCTCTCTCTCTCTCTCTCTCTCTCTATCTCTATCCAACCTATGCATGCAGTTTGTCCAATGTGCATAAATGTCTCCCACATCCATCTACCCCCTCTACCAACTCCTCTCCATCCCTCCCCAGCCCAGCCGACTCGACAAACCCAGTGCCAAGGCCAGGGTCATCTCTCGAGCGGCACGGCTGAGAATCAGGGACCCCGACTGCGCGGCGGGCGGACCGATTCAAGTTCGTGACCTCTGGTGGCCCGGGGAAGGACACAGAGGCGCCCAGCTGAGTCGCTTCACGGAACTGGTGATATACCGCTACCGCTCGGCTGTGAGTTGTGACGGGCCAGAGGTATGGGAGGTGGAGTGATGTGATGGCAGCGTCAACGAGGAGGGGAAATCAAGAATAGCCGTGATAAATGTGCGTTGAAGGATGAGAGAGAGAGAGAGAGAGAGAGAGAGAGAGAGAGAGAGAGAGAGAGAGAGAGAGAGAGAGAGAGAGAGAGAGAGAGAGAGAGAGAAAGAGAGAAAGAGAGAAAGAGAGAGAGAGAGAGAGAGAGAGAGAGAGAGAGAGAGAGAGGAGAGAGAGAGAGAGAAAGAGAGAGAGAGAGGCATAGAGAAGGGAAAAGAATGAACGATTTCACGTTTATTTAAATTATGTCGCGTTTAATTTAATCACGTTTACGGTTTAATTAATTAAATAATGCAAGATTTGCAAGTGACCCAGTCAGGGAATGAATTAGGAGGCGAAGGCCCAGCAGGGCTGTGAGCAGTAAAACCCGGAAGGCTAATACATGCGAGCGTCTCATCCCTGATATCCTGGTGTGCAAACTGGCACGCCTTTGTTGTCCGTCTGGAATTTCCTGGCCGAGTCCGTCTCCGCCCGGGAGCTATAGCCATTCCCGTGACGTCGGCTGTGTTTGGAAATGCCCAGAGGGTCAAGAGGAGCTCACAGACGGCGCGGGAGCTGGGAGGGGAGGGGAGGGATGATGGAAAGGACCGTTCAGACTGACCGCTGCGGACGGGGTGAATGACCTCAGTCTGGGCAGCGAGTGCAGTCTGATCTGGGCGACTCGCCTTATCTGCGATCCCCCCAATTTTGGTCGGGTGTGGAGGAAAACGGCGGGTTATAAACGTGAACACTGAACTACTAAAGCCAGAGGGGCTGATTGGCGGAGCTGCACCTTGCAGGCTGGGCTGCACGAGTCATGCAAATGCAATGGGTGACTGATAATGTCTTGCAATGCAAACAGTCATCCGGCTTTGTTGCACTGCACTGTAGTGCTCTTGGTAAAGAAGTTATGAGCCCTCTGCCCGCCTACAAGCTGAAAGAAGAGGGCAGTACATGGTCCCAGCTCTTGGATGTGGTAAACTGATAGTGAATGAAGAAAGTGAAATCGTTCAATAATTCTTCCGGTGCTATAAACTTCTAGAAGTTACTATCGCCGACTAAACTTGACCGCGTTCTCCACGAGTGAGTGACTGGATAATTACTTTATGGTATGGTTTAATTAAAGTTATCTGAACGGAGAGAAATAATATGTTCATTATTCAATGCGCATAAGCCGTGCAATACTTTTCACACAAATGGAACATAAAATAATTTGAAATATTCAATGCAGACATGAACTAAGGCATGGTCAGAGGAAGGCTTGTGCTTGTCCCTTATCATGAATTATGAATTATTTGCCCAATTCTGAATTTTGAATATTTAAGCCTGTCTACATTGTCTTACCCCACAAAGATGACTGGCACTCACAGCGCAGTCCATGACCTCAGGGGACAGGGGTGAGAGGGCGCACGAGACAAGGAGGGGTGACAGGTACTCACGGCGAGAGCAGGTCAATGTCAACAGCCCGGAAGGGCACCGTGCGTTCGTCAGACACCCACTTGTTTCAAGGACAAAGGTGGGCACGATCCGTTCCTCCGTTCCTCCGTTCCGGAACGCCGTTACAATTTTTAGGAACGGAGGAACGGACTCGTTACATTTTAAAAAGGGTAACGGACCAAGTAACTCCCGTTACATTGGTTGTTCGTTCCTCCGTTACACCAGGGGCGGAGCTTCCTATTCACTTGGTGAGGCGGCTGCCCCACCAACTTGCCATTTAGCCCCACCAATAAGCGTTTTGCCCTTCCAACTTAAGCCGATCTGCAGGACTTTACTGCTTAGCAAACCAATGTTTTTTTTTGCATTGAGGAGCTTTGAAATGTCTGTGCAATGCAAAATATTATCTCTGTAATGAAAAATGATTTATTTTTGTATTTTATCTAACTTATCAATCCGACATTGTAGGTTTGACAACTTTTTGCCCCACCCACTTTCCTGGAAAAGCTCCACCCATGCGTTACACTTTACAGCTTAGTCCGTTCCTTCGTTCCTCCGTTACTTTTCGTTGTCCGAGTGGGTCGATCTTTCAGCTAACCCACAGACATTAATGCACACACAGAAAAATATTGACACCGTTAGCGGTGTAATTGCACAGTACATATCTGAGCACTTGAGGAAAGTTAATTTAGTCCCTTCCCCGCTTAAATTACTCGCGCTTCCAAATGAACACCAGGAAGAAGGTAATAGAACACTGTTAGGAGGGTTGGGTGTTTTACTACATGTAGCAAAACACCCAACCCTCCTAACAGTGTTCTATTACCTTCTTCCTGGTGTTCATTTGGAAGCGCGAGTAATTTAAGCGGGGAAGGGACTAAATTAACTTTCCTCAAGTGCTCAGATATGTACTGTGCAATTACACCGCTAACGGTGTCAATATTTTTCTGTGTGCAGCAGCGGAATAGTGGATTATTGAGCAGCCCTGACTTGAAGACGGAAGATGGCCTCAGTGTACCTACTGGCCTTCCGAAATGAGCCGGCGTTGCAGTATGTGTTCGCGAAGTTCAACACGGGCGTCCCTTCAAGCGCCTCTAGAGCGCATGTTCTCAATGGCCAAAAGATGTGCTACGTGCAAAAAAGGCTACCCTATCAGAAAGTGGCAGCGGAACATCTTCAATTAACCCGCGCCCCGCTGCACACAGCCGCTATCCAGGTTCAGAAGTGGCCAATAGCCTAATTTTCGACGAATTTTAAAGCGTGCTTTTCTCACATTTTCTGGTCGTAAATTGATCAGACTGTGTAAAATATCATCCAGAAAAAAATGTTACTCATTCTGGCACAGATTGGTGGGCTCCCAGAGTACACCGTTTTGTTTTGCTCCGTGAGACCGAATTTGTGCTGCGATTTTCATGTAAATGTTGACGAGTCTCCTGTCATATTCTTTGCTTGAAAATGCGTAAGTAAGATATCAGCTGAAAGGGGAAAATGTGCGGAATCCGTTGGTAACAAAAGTACATCTAAAAAACCTCCCACTCAGTTATTGTACGCTAATTGTTGCACACTTGCACAAAGCAGAAGGGCTTGAGGATTTCATTATTTACATAGGCCTACCAAAAAACGCACAGCGTGCTTCACATCGAGACAACGTCCGTAACATATACCGTACAATTGTGAGTCATTTGCTGAAAAAATTAGGTCGGCATCACACTGCCGGCAAAAGTTATTGCAGTTCTAGTGACGCTAGGTCGCCGCCCGGCCGACCCCGGTCAGGTCGGCCGGGCGGGGGCCGCGCAGCTGACGTCCGTGCAGTTCGGCAGCTGACCAATCAGCTGCGAGAGAGGAGCGCGGTCCGTCTAATTGCCCCGGCAGTTGCTTGTGCGGAGGGGTGCTCGACGCTCGTGTCGATTGCATTTGTTGGTTGTCGATTGTCGATTGACTTGTGGGTATACTTTCTGGTGACCAATAAATGTTCGTCGTCTTAACTGAATGTAGTCTGATCAAATTCAATAAAGCAAAAAGACATCCAGCCAACAGAACATCGTAAGAATGTCCGATATGGTTGATAACATTCAGAGTTTTGGGGAGCAGCCATCCACCAGAATGAACCTTATTGGCTTTTGTATGTAACATTTGCATTGCTTTTGGAAAGTTTCGGTCAGATGTCTTTAGAAATGGCAATGTTATCGGCTTTTGCATTTTACGTACCGTAGTCGGTTAATCACAATATTCGATATTGCAAAGGCAATTTCAGTACGTTCTTGATATCGAAAACCAAAACGAATAGCATTATCGTGTTCCAGAGCTCAAATTGCATCCGATGCACGTCTTTTTTGTTGAGAATGTTCAGCTTCAAAATTTGACCTTTTTGACCTCGCCGTGACCTGACCTTCATTTGTCGAATGGAAATAGTTTCGAATCGGACGACCCAGATGACATCATTTTTAGATGCTTTTGCCGAAATGGACCATTAAAGATGTGTCGCATGACCTTAAAATGTATACATTTCCTTCCATGACCTTTTCCGTGACCTTTTGTGACCCATGACCTTTCCATGACCTTTTGTGACAAAGTTAGATTTCGTTTGTCAGCTATTCCTATCAGAAGCCGTTTTAATTTTTAGTATTGAACGAGTAGTTTCGAAGACAGCACAAGCAGGGAAGCTATGCAGAATCCCCTCCCGAGTCACCCACGTTATGGGATATACCCGTCATCCGCGGATTACAAGCAAATATATTTTTACGGCAATGCTGGATCAGCAGGATGCTCATACGTTCCCATACGTGACTTTAAGGCTTACTTCACATATAATAAAAATTCCTTGGCAAAATGTCAACTGGTTAACGAGTTATCGCATTTTGGCCACTTCCGAACTCAAATAGCGGCTGTGTGCGCTGGGGGGAGGGGGGCAGAATCTGCCCCCTCCCGTTTTTCGCCAATAACTTCTAAACGCGTTACGCCAGCGACGTCAAACTTTCAGTACCTTATCATACATCAATTTGACACGTTCCCTGAAAATTTGAGCGAAATCCGTCGGAATTTTTTTTGAGAAATTGACGTTTTAGTGACGTCATGTTCACCATTTTCGCCTCAAAAACGGCAAAATATCAAACGCCGCTAACATCTTCATTTTTGAAGGAATCAAGACGTGACAAAAAAGGTTATACGTGATTCTACTTTGTCTATCAAATGGCTATCTCGGTTTTTTTGAGAATTTTGGATTTTGGCCCAAATTTTTTCAAAAAACTGACTTTTGGGAAAATAATTATAAAATCCAAAATTCTGAGTGTATCGAAATAACCGGAATATATGTCAGAGAAGTGGTCTATGTGCACCTACATACCAATTTTTAGAAGAATCGGTTAAAAAATGTGGGAGCTATTCAAAATTTTATGACGTCACGACACACAAAATTTTGAAAAATGAATTTTTTGGAAGTTCTAGACCTCGTACGGGAACAAAAATAGCACCATTCGATTTGCCGTGAAAACTGCATCAGATAGACACCTTTTTAGGCCTTAACAACCAACTTTGAAATTTGACCTCACTTGACCTGACCTTGACCTGACCTCGACCTGAAATTCATCCAGAGGTGGTCCATATCACTTATTGAGTGTGCCTATTGAATTCTATGAGTAAAATGACCCATAAAACATGTGTCGCACATGCCCTTTTCTATATCTTGTTTTTGGTGACCTGACCTGACCTGACCTGACCTGACCTGACCTTGACCTTGACCTTTGAATGACATTGTATGCAACGAATATTGTCTTGGTAGTCTAAGAACACGTTTTGGGCAATCAGTCTCAGTCCATTCTTCGGCAACTACGGTGCAAGGCCGATACTTAGAAACTTGCATTTTGTACCCTTGACCTGACCTTGACCTGACCTCTGACTTACTTAAGCAAAAACTTGGGCTCTTAAGATCCGCCTTGATGAGAGCTTTCGATTGCCGTTTTCCCCGTCTTTCTACGACCATCGGTTCGGAAGTTAGACAGGGGGCAGAATCTGCCCCCCCCCGCGGGTTAAGGGAGGGGAGGGGGGGGGGCACTGCCGACTTTTGGTCCCATTCTTTCCATGCAACGCACATAGGGCTAATGTTAAAATGCCAAAATCAAAGGGGGCACGGTGCGCCGGTGCCCCTCCCCCCCCTTTCCGCCGCCTATGCTCTCAGATGCCAACCTGGAACGTCTAGTGTTCGTGAAGGGCAACCGGCATCTGACCGGGAACCAAGTGACGCACATCAGTACCACCAGACGTTCCAAGGTTTAGTGTTCAATCAGTGCCCGCTGTCTTGGTAGATTTGGTGGGCAGTCCGCTTTCTCGGTAGGTTTAGTTTTTGTCAGAATGGTCTCAAATATGTGTGAAATACCCAACATTTTAACGTTTTTTATTTTGCTGTAACGGAGTAACGGACTAAAGAACTTCCGTTACATTATATGGAGAGGAACGGAGGAACGAGTAACGGAAGTCACGTTTTGAAGGAACGGAGGAACGCGTGACGAAGTTACAATTTTGGGGAACGATGCCCACCTATGTTCAAGGAAAAGGTCGTTGAGAGATAATAGCTGCTCAAAATTATGTCAAGTGTCGAAGCCTCCAAGTGAAACAGTTCACACATACTCCTCTTCCCAGTTCATGGCCCTGCTGAACGCTCGCCAACGATTGAGCCATATCCAAACACTATTAGCAAATAGCCTCCCTGCATGTTTGCATCCTTCTCTCTCTCTCTCTCTCTCTCTCTCTCTCTCTCTCTCTCCTCTCTCTCTCTCTCTCTCTCTCTCTCTCTCTCTCTCTCTCTCTCTCTCTCTCCTCCGCTGTTCTCAACTCACCGAACTGAGCCTCTCCGGGGGCGGGGGTGACTCCGGGAACTGTGAGCCGGCTGCTGCGCCCGCAGGTTCCCGGAGCGGACACCGGGCCGGCGGCAACAGAAGCCTCCTTCCCCGATCCAGAAGACGGGGGTAGAAGGTCGGAACCCAGAGCCGGAGCGGACTGGTCGCCGGTGGACCGCTGCCGCTCTTCCTGCTTCGCCTGGAAGGCAGCCTTCTGGAGTAAGGCAAAGCTCTCTTGGAATGAAGATTGTGGTGTTGACTTTTGCTGCTGCTGCTGCTGCTGCTGTTGCTGGGGCTGTTGCTGGGGCTGTGGCTGTGGCTGGGGCTGCCGTCGCTGCTGCTGCTGCTGCACTTCGGTCTGAGCAGCGGCTGGTCTCTGCTGGCGCCTGGGCTGCGAGGCCGAGGGAGAGGGCTGCTGGGCAATGGCAACCAGCTGCTGGCCAACGTTGACCGGCTGCTGGGGACGGCTGGGCTGTGGAGCAGGCTGCTGGGGACGACTGGGCTGTGGAGCAGGCTGCTGGGGAATGGCGACCGGCTGCTGGGGAATGGCGACCGGCTGCTGGGGGAGTGCAGCCGGCTGCTGGGGACGGACGGCTGGCTGCTGAGGACGGACGGCCGGCTGCTGAGGACGGACGGCCGGCTGCTGAGGACGGACGGCCGGCTGCTGAGGACGGACGGCCGGCTGCTGAGGACGGACGGCCGGCTGCTGGGGGAGCGCAGCCGGCTGCTGGGGACGGACGGCTGGCTGCTGGGGACGGGCGGCCGGCTGCTGCGGGCGAGTCCGGCAACACACACCCCGACCGTTGAAAGGCGTGACGCAGTACTGAAACACAATGAAAATAGGCTTAGAATTCTTAAAACTATAATTGCGCTCTTTGCTATAGTGCGGAAAACTAAAATCACTTTTGACTTACATCATTTATTCATCTCAGTTAATTCAAAAAGTCATTTGAAAGAATCTCCTTTCTTGCGGTAAGTTGCTTTACTCACCGTGGTCAGGGATGGGCTGCGGTTACCGAGGGCCACTCGGTTGGTGAGGAAGCCGTCCGCTCCGCACAGGTTGACCTCCACACACCGCTGGTCCGCCTGACACGTCACCTGGGTACCCTGCTGCGGTCCCGGCCCAGCCTGAGGGACCGGAGCTGGCGGTGTCTGCCGCTGGGGTGCCACCGGAGACGTCCTGGCAGGGGCCGCGCCGCTCAGGAACGGATTCCTGGCCAAGTTGGGCGGCAGCGCAGACGACGGCTGGCGCGGCTTACTGGAGAAGGACGCTGGCACCTTGGCGGCGATGGTGTTCACAGGTCTGGGTCGCTGGCGGCTCGGTGTCACCGCTCGCGGAGGGCCCTGACTGTCGATGGCGTTGGCACTGGGGTCGACATACCTCCCCGGTCTCTCCTGGCAGCAGACGCCGGCGTCGGGGCCGTCGAGGGCGCACCTCTGGATGGCCACCGTCGGCTGGGAGGGGTCGGCGGCCGGCCGGTCGAGCACACCACGCACAAAGCCCGTGTACGGGTCACAGGTGGTCTCGGGCACACAGACCAGCCCGGCGCCGCAGCTGGCCGTCACAGGACCCTTGGGGCCCGAGCCGCCCGTGCCGGGGTTACGGTTCAGGTCCTCGGGACGAATTGGGATGAAGGGCCGCTGCGTCTGCTGCTGGACAGACTGCTGCTGCTGTTGCTGACGTTGCTGCTGCCGCTGCTGCTGTTGCTGCTGCTGACGTCGTCTCTGCTGCAGCAGCTGCTGCTGCTGCCGCTGCGTCTGTCGCTGGGTAGACTGCTGTCGCTGCTGCTGCTGCTGCTGCGGCTGCTGCTGTACACCACCCGCAGCCTGCCGCTGTGCGTTACCTGGCTGGAAGCTCGGCAGGAACGGATTGTGGTGTCCCACCTGCCCGGGTCGCCTGGGAGTCACCTGGATACCGGCACCAAAGTCCACCGCTCCTGGCGTGATGGACGACCCGGCCGTCCGAGCTTCAGACACTTCGTGGGCACCATGGTCTCCATGGGGGTGGTCCCCACCGGTAGCGTGACTTCCGTGGTCCCCGTGGTCTCCATGGTCCCCGTGATCTCCGTGATGTCCGTGGTGGTGCTCCGGATCGCCGAGCCGCGGGTCGCCCGGCAGCAGATTTGGCGCAGCTGCGGCCAGCCCGGCGCACAGCAGCAGACACAGGGCGACGACGGCCGGTCTCATGCTGGCGACGGTACGGCGGCACGGCGCAAACTGCGGCGCCGCCCGGGCTCGCGCCGTCTCTCGCCGCCCCCGCCCCCGCCCCCGCCCCGGCGGCGGCGCTCAAGGCTCCCGGATGCAGCTGAGACGACATCGCCGATGACGTCACGAACAGGGTGCTCATCGATGTCGGCAGGGGTCAGCTGGGTCAGACCGACTGGTCGCACCCTCCCATAAAACCACCGGGGCTTCTCGAAGGAGAAGGGTGGTTGGCGGCGTGGGAGAGCGGCGAGGTTACGGCTACCAAGTCACCTCGTTTTACCAATCTTATAGGCGTTCTGTTTAGTTTGAGAGATATTCAATATATGCAATTTTGTTTTTATCGCATATTAAGCGTGGTAAACTTGATAAAAATAGTTTGATAAGTCATAAAGGACTATCGCAAATGTGATTTGTTATACATACTATGTACTCGTATGTCTTTCGTAATGACGGATGACATGCATCAGGCCGTATGATTTGCCTGTAACGCTATGCTACATAGTACATATGGTACCTCACATGCGTATACAGTATACACCGTTGGCTTGTGGATATTGGGTAGCCAGGAGTTTCATTTAATTAAATTTCCTATAATATTTGCAGGCATCTAATTTCCAATCATTTCGGCAAATGGCAATATATTCACTTTAGTATGAGGCTACGGTTCGTAATCTTCATATTTTCAATCCTATATGCTCAGACGTCATCGTTGCATGATTGTTTCTGCTCTTGCAAAAGCAGCTTTACGACGATCAGGAGCATGCGACTTCAGACGATTTTATGTTGAATACCGCTTGTTACACAATTAATCTTCGTCCGTGTTAAACAGACATCGACGCTTAGGATACCTAGGCATGCAATGTGTGATAAACCTTCTTGCAGATGGTAATTCGTCATTCACTTCCACAATCACCACAATCATTGAAACGTGCTACACGCCATAAATTTCACTTAAATGCGTTGAAAAGCTGGGGCATTCCACGATAGATCGTACCACTTTTTTCCAATTTGACACCCTCATCTCTCGGATTTTAACAATACTTGGTCTAAGGGGTAATCAGGGGCTCTGAATCCTCCTGTAACAATTTCAGGCTTATCAGATGAGTGGTTTTTGAGTTATAGTGTATAACATGTTTTGGATCTTGCGTTGCAGCCCCAAGTTTGGCGGGCTGTAACTCTAAGACGAATAATCCAAATGCCAAATGCTATACGGCATTGAACTTGCATTGAAACAAAGAATAATATGCATTTTTAAAATTTTGAAATATATATTATTTTTGATATATAACACCTCGAGTTTCCTTTCATTTGCATTTTTATGCCTTTGGGACCAAATTTTTTTGAATTTTCATTTACTTAAAAACATCTTTGGGTCATTTTTAAGTAGCATGCAAAAATTTAGGAAGGTGTTCTTTCTATAAATGTACTTATTTTGCGTCACCGTAATGGTCTCGAATTGTGATTTCGGAAGAGAGCCTACAAATGGTGTGGTAAAGCTGACTAGTGACATCACTGGTTACTGAAAGTTCAATTGAAGTAATTTTTGCCTCACTTTTGCATTGTTGACCTTGCGTGACGTCATTCGTACGTCACTAGGGTCATAAGAGTTTTTCGTCAATAACTCTCGATCAAATTGAGCTAGAGAGACGGGAAAGCTACCAATGTACTCGGGAAGACCTTGCGAATCGAATGATGTGCAATATGATCTCATTCATCCAGCTTCGTGGCCTGACCCGACTGTTAACCATCTCTGTAGCGGCGCTGTTTGTCCAGCGCCGCGCTGGTTGGCTTTGCCGCGGACTCGGGCGGTCACGTGATGCCCGGGGGCTGGCTGCCGGCTGGGCCGCCCGGTCGGGGAGCGGAGCCAAATACACGGCAGTGTGCTGACCCGAGATCAGCGACTTAAGCTGACATCACCAGAACAAACAGTATACCATTCGACGCGCCGGAGCTAGGCAAACACAAAGATGCTAAAATCGCGGCTCTACGACCATTTGTTGCGAAGTTATCTATCAAAAACCGGACCCGTAATTTGGGTCACTTGAAATGACCTCAGGGGTCACCAATCAACCCGAGACCTTAAAATAAGGTATCATTCGATGCATCTTGTAACGGCGCACATGTTCGTTTTTTCCGCAATGTTCTAGCTCCATTAGAGGCGAAACGGCGAGCTGGGGTCGTACCGACCCCCCGGAAACCCATTTTGTATACATTTATATGAGGATCTTATAGAAAGAACACGTTTTTAATTTTTTGCATGTCGATTTTAAAGGACCTGAGGTTTATTTTGAAGAAATAAAAATGGCAAAAATTTTGGTCCCAAGGGCCATTATAGACAATTTAAAAATATACTACGCCTTTTTTCAATATGTAAAGCTTTTCTTTCCAATTTTAAAAATACTGTATTAATCTTTGATTCATCGTTAGTTCAAAGCTGTTTACCGTTTGTTGCTTGCTTAGCTCGTTTTTGAGTTATAGCTCATCAAACTCACCCTTACAATCTGAAGTTTAGAAAATATTATGCAATGTAACTCAAAAAGTTTTCATCTGAGAAGTCTGATATTTTGGCAGGTGTTTTTGGAGCCTATGATTACCCCTTGTACCAATTTTCATTCAAATCTGAGAGATGAGGGTGACGGGCCTGGTACGATCTATCGTGGAATGCCCCAGCTGCTGTTGTACGTTTTTCCGCGTAGTAAATCGGCACCTTGCCGTTCTTCGTGAAAACGCGAACTCTACGTGAAATTATTAATGCTAAAGAATTGACTTATCATACCTACATATTTCTTTTTAAGAAGGAAAACTAACACTATTGTGACTGCCTCATGTCTAACACTAGTGAAAATGTCCATACGCTGGTGCCGGACGCTAGTGCAGTCTCAGCCACCGCCGTCAGTTCGTCATGTAGCGGTCATGATGCGTGTTAATGGACCGCAATCTACGGTCTGCGGTCTGCGAAAGCCAGCGCAGGGGTACACAGTGGTTACTGTCGACTGCGTCTCTTCACGTGTCAGCTTAGTTTTTATTTGAGCAAGAATAGGTACATACATACCTTTACTCATAACTGTACATGCGTGCAAAAGGGTGACTGAAAATTCTGAAGAAGTGAGAGAAGTTTATTAAACCACAAGACTCTGCTCGTATTACAATACATCAGATATTTCCCCAATGAGACGTAGCTAATAACCACGAATAATATTAGCTCTTAACCTAAATATTTTCGCTTTTCAAGACACGAGTGACTCAATAATGCCGCAGCGGTTGTGCGATATCATGCAGGCATATCGTATAATATTAAAACTCGAATCCAGCTGATGGCAGAAAAGGGATAAGGGAAACGTTCACACACATCTGCCAGGATTATAAAATGGATAATCTCCAAACACGGGAAAGGATTAATATCTCTGATATACAACATTAAATTCGGCGTATCTGGCTAATTGCCCGTCAATAGGAACATCATAGTGCCGTGCACTGCCCTGTGAGACTAATAAGCAACCGTAACGGAACACGTCGGATTGGAGCACACATTGGAGCCGATTCATTAGAAGCAAGAGCAGGTTGCGGAGTAAAGTACAACTTAGCGAAGTTTGATACAAGATCCGACAAATAAAATGCCTGGTTTATCGAGATCTCAGGTTATTCTCATGTGAATCGCCCTCAAATCTCGCAATTATGTCATGCAAACTATCACAGTGCGGGGCATAGGCGTCACGTCGATAGGAACGGCAAACAACGCGTCCACATATCCATCAAAATACACGAACCCGTTATCAATCGAGTCGGGCTCGTTGATGTACCATTTTTGCTGCCAGAGAGTGGAGGTGGAGCCCCCCAGCATCTGGAACGCGCCGTCCACGTAGCGAATATTCAGCCAGACCAGGCCACTGATGGTGTTCCTCAGATACGTGAACTGTTCCTCCGTCTCGAATGTGGGCAGCGAGGCGGAGGTGCCGAAGGTGTTGGTGCAGTAGTCGCTGTCAGTCTGCCAGTAGGCTTCGGTGTCACCGGGGGTGGCCACATTATAGCAGGCACTGCCCACGGCCGTCCAGTCTGAGGACGGGCATTGAGGCGCGGCGGTGGTGGTTGGTGGGGCGGTGGTAGCCGCGGGAGTCGTGTCTGTGGCGGCGGAGGGCGCTGCCGTTCCCGTAAGCAGCGTGTTGCCTCTGAGGATGCTGATACCTGGTGCGGCCGTCAGCTGGTCCGCGGTGGGAACCTGTGACAGCAGCAGACAGGACTCGTCGCCCGTCTGGATGGCGGCGCAGTCGCTCTGACGGACACAGAGGAGGGCGCAGTGGGCGGCGCTGCCCGCCACCGCCTCCAGAGCCGTACCCGTGAAGGCCTGGTCGATCGCCGTCGGGCCGAACAGCATGCCGATGGCCTCGGCCCGCCCCAGGAGCAGCAGCAGCGGCACCAGCAGCGGCAGCAGCAGCGGCAGCAGTGGGGCAGACTCCCCAGCTCGCTTCATCGTGTCCGTGCTGTCCCGGCCCGTGTCGAAGTTCAATCAGCCTGCTAAATAAATGTCAACAGTACGGGCGATGGAGGTGGTGAGGGATAACTAACTTTTTCATTCTAAAGTAAAAAACAAATGCTCTCAATTTGAAAAAGGTAAAACCAGCAGATGTAGAAAAACGTAAGCATTTCTTACTATAACGAGTCGTATGTTGTCGCTTAAAACATCTCATGTTTGTGCTAGAATATTAGCACTTGCCAGCATACGGCATTTCAGTCCCACAACCCCATGGGTCCGGAACCACTGATATAAGCATCTATTTTTCTGTGACCCGATATTAGAATACGGCAAGCAATAGCCAATAAGCATGCACATTAATGCGTAAGGTTCATATCAAAAGTTACTTGATGGCATAGGCACCCATGCAGCATGCTGTTGTTGGCCGTTGCACTTAGGTAATTATAGCAAACAACCATATATCTAATTTTAATTGCGAAGTTTTTTTGGACTGTAAGTTTGTGTAAACGATGTTTATTCCACATGAGGT